AGGATTTCCTTCTATTTCTCTTAATTTAGGGCATTGTTCTGATGGCGCTAAAATTAATTCCACTAACACTTCTGGTAATTCCGTGGATATTTCCAACTTCCATTTGTTTGTTCCTTTCATCCAMATTCATTCCAGTGCTCTTAAAAGCTTTACTTACTATGCAAATTAGATATGATATATGTAGGAATGAGTTTGCTTTCCTCAGAAAGGCAGTTACTCCTCAGATGAAACATGCCAACTGCCTCTAATATTTGCATGGAGGAATATTTATATTTATTTCTTAACCTGAATGTGCAATCAGCCTGATACTAATTTTCTCTGCCTTTAAAGACAAAGAACAAGAGATATTTTTGAAGTCTGTCTACTAGCCACTGAAAACATTTATGTATATGAATGTGTGTGTATGTATATACATATATATATATAATGCATATAAACATGCTTTTGCTGTCATTTGCCTGCTTTTGGTGACAACATTATTGTGCATGCAAAACCTTGGTTTCTGAAAGCAAGCTTCTGCCTGATTTCACAATAACAAGTACGCACATTCAGCCAGCGTTTCTGAAAAAGCTTCTCAAAATACAATCGCTATTTCCAGCCTTTGGGATTCACAGGATCCAGAAATACAACAAGCCTCTTATATAACTCACCTTAGTGCTATTGGGAATCAGGCATCCGGGGGAAGGTGTTTTTTAGGGTGCTATAGGTGCTTTTTATTCCATAACATGCCACTTCATAAAGAAATAATTAAGCTAATCAAGGGCAAATATAGATAGAAATAGGTTAAAGAGAACTTAAAGTACAGCTTAATTAAATCTGGCAGTCTTTATTTAGCAGAGACAAAAATAAACAGCAAGTTAGCAAACAGAAAGGACAATATCAGGAAACAAAGTGTGTGAGTGGCACAGTGTGACAATAGCAGAGAATCACTGATGCACCTTATCTTTTCAAAGTAAAAGGAAAATAAAACACACACATGAACAGATACATATAGGCATACTTGCATATATATATGAAACATTTAACACATCACTGTCTTTTCTATTTTATCTTTCACATCAGCAACTACAACTTAGTGAAAAATTTTGCTAAATAGATGGATATAAATTTTCTTTAACTTGATCTATGGGCTTGATTTAAACATGTAAATTCCCCATCTCCACTTAGTTTAGCCCCTCTGCTTTCCAGAATAGTAGAAAAATATGTTGGTATTAGGATCAAGTATGGCTAGGCTCCCAAACTGCACTTAGTTATCATCAGTCTCGTAATACCTAGGTTTTCCTTGACATCTCAGTCCCATACTTGTATTTATTATCTGCGTTTCCTTAGCACTACCAGCTCCTGATATGGATCTGACTCTGACACAAAGGATTGTCTCTGTCCCAAAAACCATGTAGTCATAGTATGAAAGGGAAGAACTGGTAAGATAGAAGAGGTAGCATGAGACAACACGACATTATATTGTTGACATTACATGAAAGAAAGTTTTAAGAAAGGTTTGAAAACAAATAATCAGATGACTTTGTGGCCATTTGTAAGGTCTTAGAAATGAAGGGCAGATGAAGAGATTGAACAAAAGAAGTTGTTTAAAAACGTTACAACTGGCTTGTTAAAGCTGAAGCAATGGGCTGGTGGAAGCTGTGGTGAGACCCCAGCAGTGAAGAGAAATGGTGGGTAAGGTGAGGAATGGCTACTGAGGCGCTTCAAAATGAAGATGTACAGTAAGGACTGCACTGACAGACAAGACTGAGCTAGCAGAGAGATGAAAAGAGGTGAATAACGTGGTGGAGATGACAGACTAAGAAAAATGATCTTTGCAGCGGCATTCTCAATGGGTATGAGCAAGGCAAGGTTACATTTTCCAAGGCTAAAGAAGACATTATTGCAGTAACTGAATTTGAGAAGATGGGAGTTTTATTTGAATGGATAGGTTTAGACGCAGTTTAAACATACAGGACCAGGGAAAGATCTGAGTCAAAAATGATTACATGCAGGCAGATAATAGCGTAATAGATAACGTGGAGAGCACTTGTGGGAGAACATTCAGCTCTTTTTTAACTATGCTGAGCTTAAAATGACATTAGGGTTGCCAATTAGCCAGTTTTCATCCAGATGGTCCAGGGATTGGAGGCTGGACTATTTGTGTGCTGTTTGGGCTGATTACGACCCAGGCACCATATGCCACAATACGAAAGAATGAGGAACAGGCTCAGAAATACAGAGGTAGCCTAAACATCCCAGATCATCCCATRCACAAAACTTAAATAACGTATGTTTTTGCAGGTCCCCACAGTCACCACGTGACTTGTGCCAGGTGACTTCAAGCAGGAATTTCTTACAATTCACATCTTCAGATGTCTGAGCACAGGGCATTTGTGACTGTGTTCAGGGAAGGTGAGCTCCCACTAAACACTTTTAAGAAAATACTATAGATGCAAGAGTTTAGTTCAGCAAGTAAAACAATCTGGAGCAAAGTGACATAGCTATGAAGCTTCTGACAGAATTTGTTGTTTGAACTGTAGTTGTGAGTCACGTTAGCTGGGAAAAAAAGTGTAGAGGGAATAGAGGAAGGGATCCAACGGCAAAAGCCTGGTTAATATCTACTSGAGGCTGGAAGATATGTCAAAGATGTGCTGGTAGATTGGTTAAAAATGCAAGGAAAAAAGGGAGAAGACGGAGTCGTGAAGCCAAGGGAGGAGAAATTAAGGTGGAAGAATCCACACAGGGCTAAAGGTCATACGAACAAGAGGTTGGTTTAGACTTTGTCTTTTCAGAGAAATGTAAGGACTTAGGCTGGAAAAGACAAAACCCACTGGAAGAAATTTCAGAGAGCAATTTCAGCCAGTCAGAGCAGTTCTTCAAAACTGTACRAATGAGTTTCCTAGCTAGTCCTGCCTGAAAGGATGATGTCAGAAGAAGAGCACCAGCTGAGAAGACAAGACTATCTGCATGAGGGAGGTGAGCTAGTTCCTCACCGCCTTTCGCTTACTGCTTGCTTCTGCTATTTATTACTATAAAGCACACAATTCTGTGTTTATTGTAGAAAAATATTATTTACTCCAGAAACAAWTTTTCCATCATAATAGGCACCAATCCAATTCCCTTGTGGGTTTTTTTGTTTTGGTTTTTCTAAAGTTTCTGGAATTCCAGATGTAAATTGTTGACAATAAAGGAGACACCAAAATTAATGAATAAAATTAATTTTAATAYGATTGTCTTGTGACTCTTTCTGAAAGTAGATCTTGTCTGGAACAAAGGCATGGTTCACCTCAAAACGTTGTTAGTATCAGTCTCCAGATGGTGTGACTACTTCGTTTATAGAAAACAAGTGACCGGTGAAATTACACTGAAGAAGGATTTTTAGGGGAGACRCAGGAAAATAGCAATGATGCTTGCAGATTGGTAGGTGCTGATTTCCCTTCCAAATGAGCCCTGAGCTCATCTCGGTGCATTGCTACGGTGAGGCGTGTACTACCAGAGCGATGGGATTTGGGTTCTTCTGAACACCAAGTCCGTAACCACTGGGCTCATGGAGGGCCCCTTCTGCTCCCCCAGGAGTTTTTGGGTTGCTTTGGACTGGCTCCTGAGAGCAAGGACATGCTTGGCACATCACCTGCACTACAGAGGACCCAACCCGCAGGGCTGGCCACCCASGCACAGAAGATGCATGTGTAATTCCACAACTCGTTCCTTGGCCAAGTCCTTTTCCCATCAGRATGAGGGTGCACGGGGCATCCTCCCCACGTGGCCACCTCGCTCTCTAGTGATACAGTGCGGCAGGCTTTAAATCTCTTTATCTTGAAGTAACAATCCTCACGCGTGGGCATGACAGAATGTTTTAATTATTGGTACGTTTAGTTTCCATTTGCAGTTGGGAGCAATGCAGAGGGCAGTGCGCATGGGTCCTGCTGTGCGAGGTGGCCCCTGGCAGCACRGCCACCCCACCGGTGCTCGGAAACCGGGAGCTGCAGCTAAGGGCACGTTTTTAGAAGCAAAATGGATTTTAGGTGTCCTTATGTGCCTCACAGCGTTTTTCCGAGCCCTCCKCATGCTAAGTGCCTGGGAATGCCGCCTGCCTCCCCACGGAGGCTTGTTGTGTCCTGGACACGGGGGCAGTGGGTTTCGGGGCTCGGTTTGGATCGGCTGGCTCGGTGGTAACGAGCGCGCACGGTCACTGCGAGGGCAGCGGCCCCGCTCCCTCACGGCCGCGCCACCCCCGCCGAGCCGCGCCTGCCCGCGCGCCTGCGCACAACGGCCGCCCCGGCGAGCGCCGCGCCGCCGACTACAACTCCCGGCAGTCCCCGCTCCCGCACTACACTTCCCGGCAGGCGCGGCGGCCGCGGCGCTCCCA